ATCAGAATGCAATACAGTAGCTTCTTCACAGGCTGCACATATGGTGTCAGTACAACAACTGTTTGGGACTTGTGGTACACCTTTGTACCTGAAAGGATCTGCCATCATCTACTTTGGACTTTGAAGGCAGGAAAGTCAGTTGATCACAGAAGCACAAGAATGAACCACAGCTGGATTCCAGTTAACACTAAGGCTCCCTTTGAAACCCATCTTCCTTCTGTGTCTTTGGCCTTGATTCCAGCATTTACGTTTGGTAGCTGGAGTCTCTGTCAGCTCAGGGAAGTTACTGACCACTTGCTCTTGAGTACCTCAAGTGCATACATTTCAAGAGTCAGTTTATTAAAAGTTATAATCTCCACCCATTCCACGGTTCCCCTTCTACAGGACCAATCACCACTTTGAAAATTTTCAGCACCCACAGCAAGTCCTGCGGTTCTTATCTAAACCGGTATTATAAGCCTGAGGACGGGTAAAATTGGATTTCACTTGCATAAACATGAGGATAGCAAAAACAACCAACATACCTGTTTCTGCCTCTCCAGTTCAGCCTCGACTTCCTGCTTGGCTGTTTTGTGCACTGAGATTTGGTCCTGCAAATCCTGAATCTGTTCTCTGGTGGACTCTGCTTCGCTCATCTGCTGTGCTTCCATATCCTATGAATAATTATTAATTGGCGCAATTTCATAATAAACAAAGTGGGGTTCCAGTTCCTTTACATAAACCTGATCCCTTCACCTAGCACCCCATTCTCTGCATATGATCCATCTAGCATATGATCCATTTAACTTCTTATGCTTGTCCCCCCTCCAACAGACAGCCTGTGAGCCAAGTCAGTCTCACTGACAGTCATGAAGCAGTGCTGGTAGCTGTATCCACAGTGCCTGGCTACAGGGGCTTCCTTTGGACCACTCGTCTGAAGGGTACCCCACAGGCTGAATGTACATCTTTAACGTGAGCCCACTCCCACACAAATCCTCCTTTGGATATTACAAAGAAGAGTCACCCCACTGGCTCAAATCCACTTGAGTGTCTCCATGGGTGGAAAGACTTCCTCCCGTGGCACATGACTCTGTGGAGTCCCCCCTCCTGCTGCAGTCTGAAATGTTGCCGGAAATGCTGCTCCCAGGCTGCGGCAGGAAGGGAGAGGCGAAACAGTCACACTCCATGGGCAGAAACTGTTCTGTCTACAGAAATGATTTGACAGATCTAAGCCATTGACTATATGCCTATCTGGTGCTAGTTTTTTTTTTTTTAAATCTATCATTTCCCCTCCCATTAGCAATGCCCCAAATTTCTTTGCTGGTAGTTGCTAGCACCCATTTCCAATTTCAGCACCGAGCTGCAGTGAAAACACACTCACTGCCTCTGCAGAAGTGAAAAGTTCTCCGGGGGGGCTGCTTTGAAAAGAAGCAGTCAGTTTCGCAGGGCTTTGATTGTCAAGTCCTGGTGTTACCCATTAAATTATTGTCCCCCTTCTTTAAAGCAGAGTTGTGCACAACACTGATTGGCTTGGCCTCATGGCAGTCATGAAGCCACTCCCCCTGCCTGACTGGGACAGATTTCAAAGTGTAAAAACCCAGAAAGGAAACTTTAAAAATATATATAATAAAGCTCCAAACAACCTATTAATTACATAGTCATGCAAAAAGCTTGAAAATAAAAAAGAAAACAAAGCAGACATCTCGTCTGAAGCAGTGGGGAGGGGGCAACAATCAAGTTTCACTCCAGACCTCATACTGGAATCATTACAGCAGCAATAGCAGGAGAAGAAAATGAAGAGATTGTATTTATATCCCGCCCTTCACTCAGAGTCTCAGAGCAGCTTACAATCTCCTTTCCCTTCCTCTCCCCACAACCGACACCCTGTGAGGTAGGTGGGGCTGAGAGAGCTCTGAGAGAACTGCTCTTGAGAGAACAGCTCTGAGAGAACTTATGACTGACCAAAGGTCACCCAGCTGGCTGCATGTGGAGCAGTGGGGAATCAAACCTGGTTCTACAGATTAGAGCTTGCCGCTCTTAACGATTACACCAGACCATTACACCAAACTGAAAGGGAACAAAAAACTCCACTTCTGTTCCTGCTTTTACGTCTGTTGCCTGAATCAACAGAAAGACAAGACAGTGTGGGGCCCCAAAGACCTATCTCTTGTTAAACTGCCTTTGTACTCCAAGGAGCTCCGGACCGAGTACAGGATCTTCTCAGCAACCCTATGAAGTAGGCTGAGAGTGTGTAACTGGTCTCCAGCCAGGAGGAGGATCTGAACCCAAGCCTTCTCAGTCCAAGTACAGTCTTCTCTCCATTACATCACACAGGCCCGACTTCCCTTCTCCAGCCTCACTATACAGTCCAGGAGAAGAGGGGGAAAACACCAGGATCTGTGCTGCTGTTATTACCACATCCAAAGAACTGTGGGCACATTTCCCCTACCTGGAGCTCCGTCCTCAGCTGCTGCATCTGCCCCCGAAGCCTTTGCATTTCCTCCTTCTGCATCTCTCGCTCGTGCCTCAGCTCCTCCAGCTCCATGATGCTGGCCGTTTGGCTGTCCAGGCCTTCAATGCCGGAGCCTTCTTTCAGGCTGTTGATCAACTTTTCTTTAGACTGCGATTTAAGACATAGTGATGTTAGTGCACCTGCATCACAGTCCCAAAGGTCTATGCTCAATTATGTACACTACCCACGCTCTCTGCATCTGGGAACATCTTGAACCCAAGCGTGGGCTTAAAGGGGATGGCTCCTCCCTCTCATTCACCTCAGCCTCTGGGGCTAAGCTATGTTACTTTCATACAAGGAGGTTCCACTGAGCTTCCAGTAATGAGGGCATACATCTCTTTCCTGACAAGGCCTACTTCATTCTGTGTGGAGTTACATTAACGGCTTCACCTGGAGAATGCGTGTAGCTTTTTGCTTGTAGTCAACCAGTTCTTGTTTAGCAGACTCCAGGTTGGTTTTGGCTACTTTGACTTGTTGCTGAAGTTCATCGGCTCTCCGCTTCTCCTCCGTGCACTTCCTCTCGGCTGCAGTCACGGCTTCTGCCAAGCTCTGACGTTCGACTTCCATTTTGCTGAGGCGGGCTGCAAACTCGTTCTGCGAGGAGCAGGTTTTAAAGTCATTTTTACCATCAAATAAGCAGGGGGAGGGGGAAAGCTCAAAATATTGCCAATAATAAAGACAGAACCCAGACATGAAGGAGAGTGAAACATTCTGCTGTAGGCGAAGGAGAGGGGCATGTATTTTCTTTACTGGCATGTTGCATATTCTTTCACAGGGGGTAGCCGCGTTGGTCTACAGCAGAAAAGCCAGATTCAAGCCAAGTGGCACCTTAGAGACCAGCAAGACTTGGGGGGGGGGGGGGAATAACCTTTTGAGAGTCAAAGTTTCCTTCATATCTGATGAAGGGAGCCTTGACTCTTGGAAACTTATACCCCCTCCCAAATCCTGTTAATCTCTAAGGTGCTACTGGACTCGAACTTAATTGCATATCCTGTCATTTCTCTAAAAGACCTCAGGACATTGTACAAAAGCACTTCAAATCAGCCTCGCAACCACTTAATGAGGCCCAATTTAAACACGGCACTGGCAGGACGGAAGAACCAATCTGTGCATTTTGTCGAACACACCTGCCATCTCATTCAAACTGGGGCCCCCAACCACTGCACATGCAATGTTCGTGTGCCAGAGAGATCTGTAGCCTGGGGGTGGGGTGTCACACCCATGTGCTAACTCTTGTCAGCAAGCTGCCAATGGTCCTGATTGTTTCATTTATGTGGTAACCTGTATCCTACACTCTGTGTGTGCTCCGATCCTTCCCCCCCCTCCAAACCCGTTAGCGCTGCTCATTATGTTTGCTGTTTGCTTAGAGAATCATGCGCATGCCTAGACGCAAGAATGACATAGCTTGTTATTTGGAACGCTCTTTGCTTCAAGGTCACAGGTGTGGAGAAGAGATTTCTACGCTTTTGTTTTAATTAGAAGAAATTGTGTGAAATGCTTTTAGTGATAATGACGGGCCGTTGCTTTCCCAAGGAATGGGCGCATAAAACTGCTCCTTGTATCAGAGCGGGAATTATAATCATTGGCCAGGCCTATTATGAATTTCCTTTATACTACCCAGCTTTGTAGGCTAACGTTATTCCAAACAGAGACTTGTTCAGTGACTCATGGCTTCAATAAAATAACCCCTTTTCCTGATTCCTGTGGGACCTGACAACTCTGCACAAAGTCGCACTGCACAAAGTCGCACTGTGCAAAGATGCACAGGTCAGCTCTCCTTTCCCTCCAGTGCCACAATCCAAATCAGCCTAAGCAGGCCTGGCTGGAGAGTCAACAACTTGGGCAAAGCCACCTTGAGAGATTTAGGGCTGTGCAGGAATTCACACGTTCCCCCCCCCCCCCATGCCCAAACCCAACACCCTAGTGCTAGCCTGCACACCCCAGGACTCATCAAACTGAAAGCAAACTGACACAGCCTCCCGAGACTATCAGACACCTGGCAGGTGACCAATCAGGCAGGGCTGGAGGGCTGCACTCAACTTCTGCAGGCTTGCCACTCCAGTTGTAGCATGCTGCAAACAGGCTGGAAAAGGTTGGCCTGGCCAGTGGTCACTTGCTACACAGGGCCCTGCTGGGATACTGAACAGCCACTTGCTGTTTCAAGTCCCAGCTTGCAAAGTGGCCCAATCAATTCCCACAGGCCCTTGCAACTCCCAGGAAGAGGTGATAAGAAAACACAATGTTGCAGGTGCACTGCATTTATTGCACAAGCAATTCTGTTATGCATTTCAGATTTTGGCTTACTTTGCTTATTCCTTTGGCAACAGAAATCAACCCAACCCCCCAAATGCTACTTTACTTATGCTGAATCTCAGATGGGATACGTAAGAGGAGCCTCTGAAACCGAAGGAAACAGAAGACTCCCCAGAAGGGTCATTAGAGTGCAGAAGGAACAACAGTATCTGAAGGTGCCCTTCTGTGCTCTTTAGGGGCCAGCCCTCAAGCAGCGAAGCGAGTCAGCGATTCTGCTGTTCTGACCTGCATCTGTTTGTAGCCGTCTTGCTCCCGTTTGAACGCGGACTCTGCATCGTGTAACCTCTCCTGAAGGGTCTGAAGGGCTTGGTTGTGCAAGCTGTTCCCTTCACAGTTATCCTGTAATATTCTAGACAGACAGACAGACAGACACACCTGGAATCAGTAAACTTGAGGAAAGCACATCCCTTGCTTTCAAGATAAATCAATAGTTTAGGGACTGTGCCGGTGGCCAAACACACATAAGAACATAAGAGAAACCAATGTTGGATCAGGCCAATGGCCCATCCAGTCCAACACTCTGTCACACAGTGGCCAGAAATACCAGTGCCATCAGGAGGTCCAGCAGTGAAGCCAGGACACTAGGAGCCCTCCCACTATTGCCCCCCCCCCCAAGCACCAAGAAGACAAAGCATCACTTGCCCCAGAGCCCCTATCTATACCTTGTGGCTAATAGCCACCGATGGACCTCTGCTCCATATGCTTATCTAATTTCCCTCTTGAAGCCGTCCATGCTTGTAGCCGCCACCACCTCCTGTGGCAGTGAATTCCATGTGTTAATCACTCTTTGGGTGAAGAAGTACTTCCTTTTATCCGTTCTAACCCGACCGCTCAGCAATTTCATGGAGTGCCCACGAGTTCTTGTATTGTGAGAAAGGGAGAAAAGTACCTCTTTCTCTACCTGCTCTATCCCATGCATAATCTTATAAACCTCAATCATGTCACCCCTCAGTCGTCATTTCTCCAAGCTAAAGAGCCCCAAGCGCTTTAACCTTTCCTCATAGGGAACGTGTTCCAACCCTTTTATCATTCTAGTTGCCCTTTTCTGCACTTTTTCCAAAGCTAATCCCTTATTAATACAATGGTAAGGAGGCTTTTGTATACCGAGATTTTTCCGTCTTCAGGGTTTCCAGAGCTTCAGTCCGTGAATTCAGCAGCTGATCAGCTTCCTGCAGCCTCACTTTCAGGACAGCCAACTGGGAATCCTTGGCAGAGGCAGCTTCCGTCAGATCGTCCACCCGAGCCTGAAGTTCGCGAACAAGCCTGTCATTCTTGGAATTGTCGACATTCCACTTTTCAACCCTTGCTCGGGCATTGTTCAGCTCTGCATAATTCAAGTCAGCAAATATTAGCGTTGATTGACAAGCATATTTATTTCTGGCATATTTACAGTCAACATTTCTTGCGTGCCCAGCATGAATCTCTCAGAAACCAGAAATGAGGCATCAACAAGAAATAAGCTTAGTGGGGTGTGAGCGTATTGACCTTGTGCAGACATAATGCTCCTAATGACCTAATCACAGCTGGAAAACTCACGGGGGGGGGGCACGGGCCATTTGCTTATGCACTCTCTTCCCACCCCCTTCCTCCACCCCTTTCAATTTCCCCCTCTCTTTCACAATTTATTTTGATCACAGCTCCAACCACAGACAGTGTTAGGCAGATACCATCATAAACAGAGCTTGCAAAACCCTCTTTAAATGTTAGTTTCAAGCTCTGGATCCCAGGGCAGTCCTGGCTAGCACTAGCTGTTGTTAGGACATAAAATTCACTTTGGTCAAAGCAAACAGTGGGAAGGAGGGAGGATTCACACAGGAGAGGGGAAGAGGGAGCATAGGAAACCACAGCACACTATCGGTCTCCTAAATATGCTTTGCATGCCCAAAGACCTGAGTTCAAATCGTGTCATCTCCAGTGAAAGCCTTGTGGGTGGAAGATGGGAGAGAAGAAAATAGTGCACTAAGTGGACTGACGGTTTGACTCAGTATAATACAGACAGGAGAGGAAGTTCATACATTCATGGGCTCTTTAACAATTCTGCCATAAATACATGCTGCCTTGTAAAAATCACAGGCTGAATCACTGGCACAAGAATGAGAAAGAAAAAAAATCACAGAGAAAGTTTAAAAAACAAGAAAGCAAAGCAAGAAATTATTAGGAGACAGTCCTAAAGGTTTGTTATGCCCAGTCAAGTTTAAGAGCCAGTGACCAGGGTTCAAGAATGCTGAGGAGGCCCACTTAAATTCTGTGCCCAAAGTGCTGCAATGGAAATAAGTTACAGGAGCAGGATACAGCAGATTTGGTCAGGAAGGAAAAAGGAAAAATGGGTAAGAAGGGGCAAAATCAGAGAAAACTTTGTGGTCAGGGGGTGTATGTCTAAGAAGCCCAAAAATCTGCAACAAGAAAAGCTGAATTCTGTGACTTTTGCATAGTATAATTGGGCATATTTGCATACTTTCTATCTTTTTACATAATTTATTCTACAATTTTTGCTGCTTTGGTTCTTCTGGACACAGGAAAGATGAAAACACTATACAGCCCCATTCTCAACCAACAGAAATCTTATTCAACCCTCTCTCTATACATTGGATATTTTCACAGTCACTGTCCAGTTAGCTTAAAGCTTGACCTTTGCATGCATAATGAAAAGATCATTCTTCGTTTTAAAACGAGGATCAAGATTCTCAGAATGCTGAATTCTGCATCCACTGCTACAGGCTGGATTTCTTCTGTGCTCCTGCAGAATCAAAGCAAACACTGCCTTATGGCTGTCAAGGAGCCAGAGAGTTTTAGGACTGGAATTTGAAAGCTATCTCACGTTTTTATTTGCAAATCATGTATTTGATTTCAAACACATAGCATCCACTTGTGAATAATTGGTAATAACCTTCAGCATTTTTATAGTGCCTTTTAGGAAACCAAAGTGATTTAAAAAAATATGTTCTCTTCATAGCACACAAAACAACTCTGTAAAAGCACACCAGCATCTTCATCTCAGTAATGCAAGAGGAAGGGGACCAAGAAAACAGTGGCTTGCAAAGGACCGGCTAGGGTTGGCTGAGGTGAGACCTGAACTGGGAACTTCACGTCCCAGACCTGACATTCTTAAGCACGATATTGTACTGAGATATATCCCAACAGCAATTGACTTCCAGCATGAGGCCGCTTCCATCAGAAAAGGGGCAATTTCCACCCATTTCTTCATCTACTAGGAATCCCACCGAGCTGTTTGTGAGGGTCTCACAATTTCAGGGAGGGGCACAGGAGGCTGCATCTGATAGGGAAGGAAGAGAAGTCCTGTGCTACAAGCTTTGCTCTGCTCACGGCTCATTGGAAACAGCTTGTGAACTTCATACTGTTACCAACACGACATCTCTGCACTTCCAGACATTTCGCTACCTTTTTGGGTTTCCGTTGATCGCTGAATTAACGCGGCCATTTCTTGGTTTAAAGACTGCACTTCATTCCGCAGCAGCTGATTCTCCAGTCGGAGATTGGAAAGCTCGTGGGATGTGCTGTCGTTGGGTGCCAGGCTTGGGTTCACTTCCGCACTTGGTGGTGACTCTTTTTTAACATCCACATCTGTCTCTAGGCCAGAACTGGAGCTACTGGGAGTATCTGCAGAAAGAGACGCACATTCAACTCAACGCATTCATTTGGTGGCCTATTTGCTACGTAGAACAATCAACACTGTAGTAAACAGGGATACTAAACTCAGCACAATACCGCACCAAAAATACTTAACAGCTCCTCTGAATCCTTACCATACTGCAAACAGACCTAATTACTCTGAGTTCATGCAATCCTATGAAGAGTTTCTCCAATCTAAGACCACTGAAATAAATGGGCTCAGACTAGAGTTAACGTCTGTAACAGCATTTTTTAGAGGGGGAGGTAATGTTGAGTGCCTTCCACGCCTGACAGGAGAGAATGAAGATTCCCAGTCACTTCCCACAATTAGAAAAGACACCTTTAGACATTTACCTGCTAGTTTGACATATTAACCCTTAAATTGTTATTTAGTGTCACTTTGCATGTCTTGATCATCATCACATTGCATGTTAATTTGCTGTTCATTCTCTGGCTATAAGTTTGAACCTTGCCTGCCATTCTAATGCATTTGATAAAGTGTGCCTTGCACACGAACGCTCATACCTTGACTAAACCTTTGTTTGTCTTAAAGGTGCCACTGGACTCTAGATTTGTTGTAGGGTTGTATTGTTAGTCATCAGGTGGAGATCAAGCCTATATACAGTGGGATGCCATCCCCCCCCTTCCCCTAAGCCAAAGCCTAATGAAGCCAATCAGATAGTTGATAAACTTCTGGTTTTTGCTGTTTGCCTGGGTCTGCAGAAACAGGTGTGAGTGGGCATGCCAATGTGGGTGTATGTGACAGAGAAAAAGAAAATGCAGCACTTTGTAGGCTACAATATACAATTGCTGTGTTTACATGCGTACTGCATTTAGACCTCTCCTCTCCTCCTCAGTAGGGACCCAAAGCAGTTTATCATTCTCCACACCTCCACTTTATCACCCGGTGAGGTAGGTTAGGCTGAGAGCATGTGGTTGGCCCAAGGTCAGCCAGCAAGCCTCTATGGCAGAGATCCTAGTCTGACACACCAACCATTACGCCACACTACACGCTGGCACTCTGGAGAGACAGTGTAGTGCAGGGGTTGGAATGCTGGACTATTGGAAGACTTGGGTTCCAGTGCCCAATTGCCACGAAACTCAGTTGCTGACCTCAGGCGTGACACTCTCTCCTTGCCTAATCAACCACACAGGATTGTTCTGAGGTTGAAATGGGGAGAGGAGAATCATTTATGCCAGCCTGAGCTCCTAGGGGGAAGGGCAGGATAAAAATATCAAAAATGGGTAAGTAGGTCAGTGGGTGTGCAGGCTATGTGTAGGATGAGCGACACCAGACAGGACAAAAGTGGAACATTTTTCTGCAGCTAAAAGAGCCGTCCAGGAAACTCCCTTCTGCTCTGCTGCTTTTTTCCTGAGAGATGTTTCCCAGCATGCAAAGTGACACTTCAGCCAAATGGGTTGCCCCCCTGCCCTGCCACTTATTGTTACTGATAGATGCACTAGTAAAAATAAGTCCCAAAGTTGGTTTTTTTGCTGGCTGTGAAAACAGATGGATATTAGTAAAAGAAGCCTATTCCTGTTAGACCAGGAGGAAACCTCGTATGAAGAGAAAACAAATCCCAAGCTGAATGTGCAAAACTATTCCCATTGAATATTTAGCACCAGCATGCAACACGGTAGACCCACCCCAAGAAAAAAGGTGGTGGACGCCTCAGGAAGCTCACTTTGGACACCATTAAAGGCAGGAAAATGAGAACAACTCAAGGGTGGTCCACAAGAAAGTTAGGAGGGCATTTTTATAAAGGGAAGAGGGACACAGTAAAATGGAGGGCACATTTTATAAAAGGAACAGAGCTACATTTTTAATTGTAAAGGAAAAAAATTAGGCTGTTTCCCCCCTCTCCCTCCCCCTCCATACTGCATTGTTCATTGAATTATACTGATCTTTGTGTTATGCAATTTTATGGCACTGTTTATTGTATGCAGGGGTCATTTCTTGCGGGAGCGCACAGGAGCGGAGCTCCGGCAGTAAGGAGCCCAGGGGGTGGGCACATGCAACAAGCCCCGCCCCCTGCTCCCAGCAGCCCTCAGTCGGGCCACGAGGAGCAAGAAGCAGCCAGGTAAGTTGCAGAGCCCCCCTCCCCGGCCTGCCTTCAGATACAAGCTCTCCCTCCTCTGTGAGGGCAGATCTGTGCGTTCCCCTCCCCCCCATAGCTAGCAATCCAAAACAGTCCAGTGGAGCCTAAGAGGTGGGTGTTGCCTTCTGACACACTTCCGGTGATGTCAGGGGGTATAGCATATGCAAATAAGTTATGCTAATAAGTTATGCTAATGAGCTCCGGCCCCTCTTTTTCTACAAAATGACTCGATTGTATGTTTTATACTTGTTATTATAGTGGTCTTCAATTTTTTTTTGGTAAGTTTGGAATTTGCCTTCAGTTTCAGTGAGAAAGGGAGATGATCAAATAAGTTAAAATAAATCAATAAACACAGCAGTGAAGTTCCCCTGCACAAGCCTCAATGACAACAACAGGCTCCTACTTGTAACAATGTGCAGAACTTCCCAGCGGATTGTGGCCTGGCATATACTATTCAGTTTACAGCTTCCCTGAACTGGATAAGCAGAGGGTATCTAGTAATAACATCTACCTGCATCAAACCAATTAATTCATAACACAGAGGAATTTTTTTAAGACTACTAATATTCTAAATTTTTAGAAGCACTCAATTGCATAATCCACTGAAAAATAAACACTTTTATACAAGGTAGACTAAGGAGGGGAGCAGTTGAAATCATTGCTTTAAACCAACATTTTCCATTTATTATTTAGCTACTCAATTAAAATGGATACTATAACCATAACACATAGTGATTTAAAATCAAATAGAACCCTGGCTCACCTCACAAAAGACTAAATCTCAACCAGAAGCAAAAGCTGATGGTAGTGACCACTTCGGTTGCTACTCTCCATGAGCCGGAAAGCCCATGTTTTTTTGACTGCCAAGTTGAATCAATATTTAAAATTACAATAAGGAGCCAACTGCAGAGAGCAGGTAACTCCAAGGCATAAAACAGGAAAAACCAGATGATCACTGGATATCACCTGGAGTTCCTTGTGGGTTCCGGCCTCCCAGCAGCAAGCCTAATGTGTGCATGCTATGTTATGCTACAGGATGGCTGACAAAAGCTGTATTACACACTTTTAAAAAACACATGACACTGCTTTACATTGAATCAGATGACTGGCCCATCAAGGTCTGTGTCGTCTACTCAGGTGGAAGTTTTTCACATCAACTACGAATTAATCCTTTTTAAAATAGGAAATGCCAGGGATTGAACCTGGGACCTTCTGCATGCCAAGCAGAAACTATACGCCTGAGTCCCTCCCCTTTGTCTTTACAAACAAATGCAGCATTTCATAAGAGGTTCATAAGTTCAATTTTAGAAAATTTTATGATGGCAATCATTACAAATTTAATTTCAAACCAGGCTAATTTAAAAGAGAAAATGGTAACTTAATTTGTTGTTGTTTTTAAATACAATTATTTTTTTAAAAAAATATTAGGGTACATCCACCCTGCTTCTGTGCAAAGCAAGTAATCAGAAGAGTGCATACAGATAGATCTAATTATTTAACCTGGGGCCCTCAACATTTTGAGAACAGACATTGCCATGAAAGGGCTGCTATGGAGAAGTGGAACCAATCATGAAATGGGGAAGAAGATGACGAAGAGAGGAGGAAGAGGAGATAGGATTTATACCCTGTCCTTCAATACCCGAAGGAGTCTCAGAACGGCTTACAATCTGCTTTCCCTTCCCCTCCCCACAACAGACACCCTGTGAGGTAGGTGGGGCTGAGAGAGCTCTCTTGAGAACTGCTCATGAGAGAACAACTCTGAAAGAACCTGTAACTGACCCAAGGTCACACCAGCAGCTGTATGTGGAGTGGGGAATGAAACCTGGTTCTCCCAGTTCAGAGTCTGCACTCCTAACCAAACTGGCTGAGTCCAATCACAAAACACTGGGAAGTTCCAAGACAAGCACAGAGGAGGCAGCTGTTGCCAAATGGGTGCTCCATGCGGATGTAAAGGTGATGCCTCTTGGGCTGTTCTGAAGCACCTTCTACTTCAGTGAAGTAGGAAAAAAAACAGGACTGACTCACCGCTTTGTGGAAGAGACGCTTTGCCGAAGAAGCAAGTGGGCACCATGAAACACATCAGTGAACATCCTGGTGCCCACAGGTACCATGTGAGGGATCCCTGATTTAAGCATATCCAGTCCCAACCTTACACGTGGGCGTCATACTTCAAGCTCATGCTCAGGTCTTACCACTCCATTTCATCCTAGTCCGTGCAGCCCTCATGGCTGGCTTCCTGCAGTAAACTGTAGCTATGTGGCATGGCTAGGGTACAAAACACCTGCCTTTTTATTCCCAATGACACCTCCCACAGATTCAGCTGTACAGCACAGTGGAAGCTGCCAACTGGATATAAAAATAGGTGTACTGTGGCAGACAGAGTATTAAGACCAGGAGGTGGGCACCTCAAGTTCAAATCCCCCCCTTCAGCCATGACTCTCCTTGGGTCCTCCTTGGGTCAGACCTCTCCTCTCGACCAATTACTTCACAGTATTGTTTGAGGATAAAATGGGGAGGGGAGAATTTGCTGCACGGCCAGTGGCCAGAAAGTCTATAAGGCACCACTCTCATTAACTGAGGAACCAGGTTCCCAAAGATAAGACTCATCATATGACAGACAGCAATCCATCCAAGAGCTGGTAGCAGAACTAAAGAGGCCCTGTATTATATGCATAACTACTTTAAACAACACATTTGGAATTCATTCCACAATTAGACAACAACGTCATAAGGCTATGATCTGCTCACCACCACCAAACTTAATATTCCTTAACCTCTGTAGTTATGCTTAGCTACCGTTTTGACTCCGGAGAGAAACATCTTCTCCAGTTTTGATACTCTGTGAACTGGCCGAGACGGAGCTCATGCTCGAAGTCCGAGAATGATTCTGAGCAGGGGCTGCTCTGCTTTTCTCCCGCCTGAGGTCCATTCTTCCGTTTGGTTCCTTTTCAGAGCTATTGAGAAAGTCAAAGAGAAGTTCGTCATTTGGTTCAGATTTTTTCCTTCTCACAAATTGGGAAGACGGCCTGGGTGTGGAAGCCGTTTCCACGGAAGGCAGAGGTTCTACAGATGTCCTGGACGTCACTTTCACATTTGCAGTCCCTGCTAGGATGGTGGCCTTCTGGTGTTTAATGTTATCGGCTGCTGAAGCGATAAAGCTCGATTTAGATGGAGTCTGGTGCGGCTTGGGGTACTCACTGACAGCATCCAAGTGACTCTTGCTGTAGGACGCAATATCCACAGTGTCTTTCTTGCTTAAAGCGGAGGCAGCTCCTTGATCGACTTTGTTGAGAAGGTCCTCTGCCTTCCCAGCGAGTTCAGCAAACCAAGACATAACGGAAGTCAAAGACCAGGACTATATGGAATTAGATCATCAAATGCTCAACCTAAAGGAAGAAAGAAACAGGGAATTTCAGATCACGATGACACACAATAAAAATGTTACAAAACTAAAGAATGTGGTTTATCTTTCCTGTATGTTCCTGTATTTATGATAGCTGGGTTGATGAGACTGTTCCACTTCTGCATGCATTAGAGCTGAAACATACTACAATATTTCTTCTAGTCACTATAAAATACATATTATCAGTGAAAGGGGGATAGAATACAATAATACCATGTAATCCTGTACTACTCAAGGCAGCCCTGCAAACACAGAAGGTGGATCAACTGCATCAAAGCCAAATTAAACGTCTGTAGGCAGAAATCCTCAGAGCACTAATAACAAAACAAAAAAAAACAGGTGATATGTGGGACTCTCCAAATTACGGAACGAAAAGGTCACAGAGAGGGAGGGAAGGGGCCACAGCTCAGTGGCAGAACACCTGCTTTGTATTCAGAAGGTCCCAGATTCAATCCCTGGCATCTCCTGTTAAAGGATCAGGTAGTAGCTGATGTGACAGTGGAGAACCACTATCAGTCTGCCAGCGGTCTACCCACCAGTGGGCTTGATGGACCAATAGAATAAATGCTGGAATAAAAGTTGTTAGTCTTTAACATGCCACCAGACTTCTGTTTTATTTTGCTAGAATAGGCTAAACACAGCTACCCTTCTTGAATTAAATGGGCCAACAGTCTGACTCAGCATAGGGCAGCGTTGTGTGCTGTGTAAGGACTTTAATACCAGAAGTAACCCTGGCTATGCAAACACACACATGTGGGGAAAGCTTGTGGACAAATAAGGCATTGATGCAGGGCAAAACACAATTCCTCTTAGCCATGTATACTCCCTTGAATCTTAAACTGGAGACTTCCCCCACTTCCTTTGCAAGTATTGCAGATCAAAGCTCAATCAAACAGACCTGCTATTCTCCTTTGATACTCAGGAGGTGACCTGTGATACAAAAGCTGGTTCAGAAAAGCTACCATGTATGTAGTCATTATTTAGGGCTTGATCACTCAGCTTCCCACCATAACAAGCTGTTCTTTCTCAGGCACACCATCTCATAGCAATTGTGGATAAAGGCAACAGCAAATGGCTAGAATATAAAGGCAATTTCCCCGTCTTTTTCCTTCACATCTGCACACATAAATGCATACCTGGAAATGGTTGCAATTGTTCATATGAAGGGGGAAAAACATTTTGTAAACTAGCTTTTAGGTACCTGTTTAATCAGCATAGCTAAGTCATATTTAAACAGTCACCGTTTTCCAAAGCCACAGCATTTGCAAACCCTGACCTGCTGTGTGTGGGAGTGGTTTTTCTGGCGCATGGGAAGGACACACCAACAGAAAAAGCACCTGGAACAAACATGTGGGTGTGTCAGAGGGCTGGTGTAGGAACTATAAATACTCACACTGACATTCACACAAAATGCTGTCATCAGCCAGCCTACTCTTCTCTCATTCTTCAACACTTATTATTCATCATGAAACACACACAAAGCAAAACTCTGAAACCCTGCTGCCAACGACTAGCCTCCCATCCTAGAAATATATCCAGTCCACCTAATTTCTGCCTCTCGTCCCCATTAAAGCCTGTCCCTCCCACCAAACCTCCAACCCTCCCTTATTCCTTGAATTGTCACACTCTCACTTTCCCTCCTCTACAAAAACCCTCCTCGCTCTTGGACTGCCAGTAATTTATTTGGCATTTCTACCGTGACAACAGGGCGCCAGAAAGGTTATGAGAGGCACTCAGGAGGCGAAGACCCTCAGCTACAATTGCTCCAATATCCAGCAGTTTACTTCATGTTTTATTATAGCTCCAGGGCGCCAAAACCTAGAGGAACTCCAAACCAGGTTGTACCCATGGCTCTATAGGCTGGAAACTCTGTTGGTCTTAAAGGTGCCACTGGACTCACTTTGTTGTCTTTTCCTGTGTTTCCGTTCGTTTACTTTGAATCATTGCTCACTTTCTGCATGCTTCTGACTGACTACGGCTGATCACTGCCATACCGAGAAAAGCTTTGCTTGTTCAGTCTGTATCTGCAAGAACCCAGCCCCCCCCCCGGGGGGGGAGCCGTCACGGCACTGCGTGCTCGGCGCTGTATGGGATACTGGAATGCCACAGAGCCTCTCCACAGGGGCAGCAACATATCTCAGTCCCCATTTCGACTCATGCATTTGGGATAATTTTACCCCGCCTGCCCATGAAATGGGGCCTGTCAATTTTCGCACTTTTTTTTATACATACCCGCCTCCCCAGAACTCTTGTTGACCTTCTTCCATCCTCAGTCAGCACCCCCCCACACACACACACATACATACATTTCCTTTCCTCCAGCCGCCTTGCTGTCTGCCCTGCCCGTCCTGTGGGCCTCAGCTTACCCTCAGCCACGCTCTCTAAGGGCCCCGATCGCTGGAGCAGAGATCGTCCCAGCAGCAACATAAGAGGAGGAAAGTAGGCTCGACAGCGACAGCAGCAGCAGAAACTCTGGGCCAGGCCGCAGTCTAGTCAGGGCTGCCCGTGTTCGGTCTTCCGGGAGACGTGGCTACGGATGCGCCGGCGGAAGGACCCGGCGGCGCCGGCCGCTCACCCTCCCGAAGAGCGCCTGCGCAGACGAGACCAGGTGCGGAAGTGACGAGACAGGCCAATCCGAGAGACACTCATAGGCGTGAAGGTTATTCCATAAGATTAGCGTCAGGCTAGAGTCGCATTCAGTGTTTATCTTCGGCGCTTCCGGGTTTACGATGACCCATGCGAAGTATGTAAGGCCATAGAGGTGGCGAAGGACTAGAGCGACGCCGTACCCTACCTGTACAAAATCACGGCCAATGATCAAGTGTTGGTTTAACAGGCATCTCAAGGGTCGGAGTGTGCATGTAGAAAAGAGCGAGAGTCCCGGGGCACCTTAAAGTATAACAAAAGTTGTGGCCGGGTATGAGTTTTCGTGAGTCACTGCTCACTTCTTCTGCATGTGTAATTCATACTCCGCTTCTGATGGGACCTGGTAGTTTTCGTGTTGATGGAGCGGTAAAATCGTCTCTGAAAGTGTAAGGAGAGCGCGACATGCGTCTTTCTCGTATTGGTGTATTCGGCGAAGGGAGATTTGCCTTTACCCTGAAAATCTTGTTGGTCTCTAAGATGCTACTTCGGACTCGACTGAATTATTTTGTTTTCACTATACAAAATAGGAGGGGGGCAGTTATCCACGTTGGAGGCGCTGTTTTTTTTTAAAAAAAGACTCGGGCAGATAGGGTGATGAGAAGACGTTTTAGAACCAACAGGATTAATTTGCTATTGCTCTAGGCGTTTGAAGACAAAAGGGTAGTATTCGAGAGGGAAGTCGCGTCAAGAAGTGGCTTTTTGAGAATGTGGAGAATGGTGTGTTGGACTGTAGATGGTAGCTCGTGGGGATACAGTAGAGAAGAAGGATAGGTTGGTTATATGGTTGAGGATGGGGTGAGAATGGGAGAGATGAGGGTAACCAGGAGGTGATTGGATGAAGGTAGGGTGACCAGCCTCCAGGTGGAGGCTGTAGATCTTCTGGATTCACAACTGATATCCAGACTTCAGAGATTATTTTCTCTGGAGCAGATTCTATGACATCACATCTCTGCTGAGCTCCCTTCCTTCCTCAAACTCCACCCTCTACATGCTCCACTTCCAAATCTCCAGGAATTTCCCAAGCAGGAGCTGGTAACCCTATGTAACATCAAGGGTGTGTGTAGATGGTGAACCAAGTCAATAGTGATAGTCATCTTCTTGAGTAGGATCAGAGAAAAGAAGGATTGAAGAAGTGTAGAAAGAGGAAAAGCCAGAAGAGAATATGGTAGTGAGAAGTAGGAGTATCAAAATGTATAGTTTCAATTTCATCATTGGAGGAGGTGGTGGGGCAGCCTTTAGTAGAACATCAGAGGTGTAGTGGAGCTCTTGAGGACTCCTAGAGTTGCTGAGGTTCAGGGAGGTGTACTTGCGACACTTAGCCTGCTAGGTGGCAGACAGAAGGGGGGAAGAGTAAGCCCCTATCTGCAATGTGGAGATGGTAACAGTGGATTAGGTTTAAACGAGGACATGTTATAAATCACAGCTTTGGATTTTTACATTTTCATTCTAGATGACCTGCAGTTGTTTTAACTAAGCAGTAATGGTGCCAGGAACGACCAGGAAATCTGGTCTTGTAGAGAAAGGAGCTTATGATTTAGTGCTTTGTTTTATAAACATCTGGCACAACAAAGAGTCCTTATTAGTCCATGGCTGAAAGCCTTGATTGGTTTGAGCCAAGATTTCCCATCGCTTAATTCAGGGACCCATTTTCAGTTTCAGGACTCATTAACAAGAGCAGAGGACTACTGACCATGTGTAAAGTTCCAGTTTCCCCACTCCTGTGTAAATTCAACCAGGCCTCTTTGTGGATCTGGTGCAGTCCAGTTGCTAGGAAGTTATCATACACATCAGTGGCATGCACCTCCGCTGTGGAGCTGTTGTGCAGTTTTGGGAAAGTCAGTATGTATCATTCTCATTTTCCCAACTACAAAACACTTTGCAAATTTAAAAGGTAAAAAAAATAGCAAATGCAACATTATGCAAACTATTGGCCTAGAAAAAGACTTGCAGGGCAGGTGAGAGACTTGATTCACTTATAAAGCAAAACCATGGTTTTATTTAACTATGGTTTGTTTGTGAAGCCAGTCTTCATCTTGTTGACCATCTTTCAAATTCTGGCTTGGGATTTGCTATGTGGTTGCAATGAATTATTAGGAACAGAAAATAAGGATGCTAGTATTATAATATGTAGTACTAGAGTGCAGGGTGGTGGCTAAGAATGTGACCTATTAACAGAGTAGTTCCCCATTAATATATGCAGGCTTAGGCAAGCTTCTGTCCCACCTTACGGCACTGTTGTATGTGGGCAAAAGTTTGGGTTGCTTGAAAAGTAGTCTATAAATGCTGCTGTTAATTAATGTGCATTTAATCAAATGATTACACTTTTTGCTGGCTCATCTTAAGTGATAATAATGGATAGGTTGAAGAAGAACAGGATAATGTGGGCTGGAAGTTCTGGGCTTTCATAGATTGAGCCGAAGTAGGTAGGGAGACCTATGGTTTGACTCCTTGTTTGAAAATTGTTATGTATATATGTTAGGGTTTAAGGATTGAAGAGCCAATGTTGTGTAGTGATTAGTCTGTTGGACTAACTTCTGGGAGACCCAGGTCTGAATCCCTGTTCTGCCATGGAAACACGCCGGCTGACCTTGGGCCAGTTGTACAACCCACACAGGGTTGTTGTGAGGATAAAATGGAGGCGAGGAGAATGATGTAAGCCACTTTGAGTCCCCATGGGGGAGAAAGGCAGGTTATAAATGAAGTAAATCAGTAAGAAATAAGTAAGGATGGCTAGAATTATTTGCCAAGGAAGAATGATTAACTATGCTGTAAACAATAAAAAAACCACACCTGGATCGGTCCATACAGTAAACAGTATAATAAACTACAGTCTTATTCCCTTTATAAGAATGCTCTCATGTTTTATTGCAACCCTGTTCCCTTTATAAACATGTTCTCATGAACAGTTTCCCCAAGCAGGCCATTCCACCATAACAAATTCTGTTTGTGATTTTACATGGAGACTGTTGTTTTTTTATTTTACAAATACTACAAAAACTACAAAGAAATATTAGGGAAGGGACTACAACTAAGGATAAAGGAAAGCAAACCACACTAAACTAAAACCTCAAGAGGAGGAGATCTTTTCACTGTTAGTAAAAATGTTAGTACAATTAGTTTTAATATCACAATATACTTGTAGAGTTCTTGCTTATTGTTTATTGTAGCCACGGTTAAGGTACAGAATACATAGCCAGTGTGGTGTAGAGGTCAGAGTGTCAGACTAAGACCTGGGAGACTCCGGGTTTGAATCCCTACTCTGCCGTGGAAGTTTGCTGGGTGACCTTGGGCCAAACACACATTCTCAGCCTAACTTACCTCACAGGGTTGTTGTGAGGATAAAACGGAGGAGGGAAGAATGCTGAACAACTTTGAGTTCCTATTGCGGAGAGAAGTGGGATATAAGTGAAGTAAATAAGTTACCTTAGTTAATGAATGGACTACCGCCAATAATGTTTACTTTCCAAGACTCCTGATGAAATTTCAGCTTTTAGCCAGCAGGGGCCACTAAAACCTTTCAACATTATTATTCAGTCCTCTAGTGGCACGGACGGTTTTTATTCCAGCATATATTTTTGTGGGCCAGAAGAACCCATGTTGTCAAGGTGAAGTGACGAAGTCCACAAAATTGTGTGCTGGAGTGAAATCTTGTTAGGTCTATAATCTGGCACTAGGTTCCTATTTATTTTTGCTGCAAGACACCGACCTGGCTACTCCTCTGGGATTAAAACCTTTCAGTCAGCCTGAAGGGCTGGAAGTGGTGGAGAAATGTTGGCCAGTAGTAAATGGATCTGTATACATCAAAAGGGAGGGGGAAATCCACAGAACCTGAAACCTGCTAATGTTTCCTAGAATGTTTCTTGATTTTACTTGGGTTTTCATGCCTTGAAATATTCAGGCTTTCCCCCCCTTTCTGGTCAGTCTTTCTTTGGAAGGGGGAGCCTGTGTGGGCTTCATGAGTGTCCCTCCAATTCCACCACACAGGCTGTTATGGTAACAAATGGGGGTGGGGAAAGCTATGACTACTACATTGAGCTTCCTGGAGAGAAAATGCAGAATATAAATGCATAGATAGATTTTGTTTCAGCATGATCTGAATTCATACCCTTTTCTAGCCGGGTTTCTGAGCTAGCATCCGTGAAGGCCAACATTCAATAAGAGAAGGTTGCTCCCTTTTAATTTGGCAAACAGTTGACCATCCAGCTATTTTCCTTACCAGTAGGATAAAAGAAGCGGAACATCAAGGGATTTATTACACTCGCCTTCTTAAGTCACTGTGATGCTGAGAGGACTCTGGCATGGTGTGGGTGGGTGTGTTATATGCCATCAAGTCACTTCTGATTTATGGCGACCTTATGAATTAATGATCTCAAGTTATGAACGCTCAGATCTTGCAAACGGAACGCCGTGGCCTCCTTTACTGAGCCAGTCACATGTTAGGTCTTCTTCTTTTCCTGCTTCCTTCAACTTTTCCTAGCATTATTGTCTTTTCCAGAGAGTCTTGGCTTCTTATGATGTGACCAACATACAATAGCCTCAGTTTAGTTATCTTAGTGTCATGGAATTAAGGCTGGACTGAACCTCAGTCCTCTGCTAAACCTCTGGTGCACCTATGATACTTTGATTTCTGTAGCAATTAGCCTCTATAGGTGAATCTGTGGTTCTGTTTCCCAGGAAGCTTCAGGACTCTGCTAAGTGCTGTGGCCTTTGGGTACAGATAACTCTGTACATGCCTTTTGCCTTACATGACATTATATGTCAAATGCTCATCATAGACTTGACTGACAGCTACATTAGCCCCTGTGGTTGGAAAAGGGTACTTAATGTCTGGATTTAGTTTTGTTCCTTGTTGTTCTGGCCAACCACCCTCAGTTATGGGTCTTAGCAGAGTAACCAAATATATCCTTTATAGAACTTCAAGTGCACTCTTTATATCTTGGGGTTGTGTTGAAATATTCTATGTTGAATACTGAAATGCTACAAAGTATGTTCTAACTTGAGAATAAATTGAGTTTTGGTTTAGAACATCTCTCTCTCTCTCTTTCTCTTTCTCTCTCTCTCTCACATCAACTTCCTTTGGTGTAGTGGTTAAGTGTGCGGACCAGGTTTGATTCCCCACTCCTCCACTTGCACCTGGCTGGATGACCTTGGGCAAGTCATAGTTCTGATAAGAGCTGTTCTTGAAAAAGAGCCGTTTCTGTCAAGAGTTCTCTCAGCCCCACCTACCTCACAGGGTGTCTGTTGTGGGGAGGGGAAGGGAAAGGAGTTTGTAAGCCGCTCTGAGACATCTTTGGGTAGTGAAGGGCGGGGTATAAATCCAATCTCTTATTATTATTCTTCCTTGTTAATAATGCAGTGTCATCTGGATATCTCAGATTGTTAACATCCCTTCCACCAATTTTGACTCCACCTTCATTTAAATCTAATACAGCTTTCTCTCTGGTGTGTTCTGCATACAGAATGAAGAGAAAGGGAGATAATATACATCCTTGTCTGACATCTTTGCCAGTTGGAAACCATTCTGCTTCCCCACAGTCTGTTTTAAGAGTAGCCTCTTGACCAGAGTAGAGGCTGTGCATCGAAACAGACAGATGTTGTGACACCCATTTGTTTTGAAACCATCCATGGCTTTTCATGGTCCACACAGTGGGGTAGAGAGGCTCTTATGCCCCTGCAAGGTTTTCTTCCTGCAGCTTAAAAATGTTTATTTCCTTTTATACGAATTTGTGCTCTAAGTTTCCTTGTGCCAAGGGAAATTCCCCTATCTGGCATCAGGCTAATAGCACTGTGGATTGCATCAGCCCTGACCCAGATGGCCCAGCTTAGTATTTGGATGGGAGACTACCAAGAAATTCCAGCCTCACTATGCAAGAGGAAGGCAGTGGCAAAACTACCTCTGAATATCTCTTGCCTTGAAAACCATACAGGTTCACCATGAGTCAGGTGCGACTTGATGACACTTTACATACCTATTGCACCATACTGAAGGTCAATGTTCCTTTGTTAATGAGGCAATATGGACTTATCAGGCTGTTCCTATATATGGTTGGATATTGCAGTATTGGTGTGCTACTGCAATCATTTGTAACTGGATTTTCCTGTGTGGACAAGTCAGTCCAGTTGAAAACGATTGCTGCAGTGCTATATCTAGCCGTGTGTGGACAAACCCACAGAAGTACAAAACGTCCACAAAGCTACAGGAAAATATAGAGTTGCCAACCTTCAGGTGGTGGCTGGAGATCTCCTGGGATTACAACTGATGTCCAGGCAACAAAGATCCATTCACCTGGGGAAAATGGCCACTTTGGAAGGTGAGCTCTATGGCATTATGCCCTGTTGAAGTCCTTCCCTGCCCATACCCAGTGTTCCCTCTAAGCTGAATTAGTGTGAGCTCAGTTTTTTAGCCTCTAGTGCACACATTTTCGTCTTAGCTCGGGAAGGATGGTTCCAGAGCAAACTAATTTATGCAGTAGCCAAATCTCTCGCTCACAACTTTAATGCCAGTAGTTCGCAAAGTAGACTTTTTGCTCACAAGACTCCACAGCTTAGAGGGAGCATTGCCCAACCCCACCCTCCTCAGGATCTACCCCCAAAATCTCCAGGTATTTCCCCACCAGGAGCTCGCAATCCTAGGAAAGGTGGGAGACCTAGGGTTGCCAGGTCCCCCCTGGCCACCAGCAGGGGATGGGGGGCATAGGGTTGCCAGATCCAGGTTGGGAAACACCTGGAGATTTGGGGGTGGAGCCTGGGGAGGACAGGGACCTCAGTGGGGTACAATGCACCCATTTTCTTCAGGGGAACTGATTTCTGGAGATGAGCTGTAATTCTGGGAGATCCCCAATTCCCACCTGGAGGCTGGCATCCCTACCAAGGGGCGGGGGGCCTACATCAAAGTAAGTATGTTTTGGATTGCAACGTGACAACATAATCCTAGACATGTTTATTCATGTATTTATGTACAGTAAAAGGAGCTGCGGTGGCTCAAGTGGTTAAGACGCTGAACTGCAGGCTGTGGAAGGTCAGTAGTTCAGCAGTTCGAGACCCGGGTGCCACATGATGGAGTGAGCTCCCATCTCTAGTTCCAGCTCCTGCCAACCTAGCAGTTCGAAAGCAAGAAATTGCAAGTAGATAAATAGGTACCACTTAACAGCGTTCTATGCGCCTTGGTGTTTAGTCATGCCATGCCGGCCACATGACCACGGAAACGTCTTCGGACAGCGCTGGCTCTTCGGCTTTGAAACGGAGATGAGCACCGGAACCCTAGAGTCGGACTCGACTGGCTTTCGAGCAAGGGAACCTTTACCTTTATATGTACAGTAAACCCTAAGGAATTCCAGTGGCTTTTCCTTCATAGAAACAGTCCTATCCTTTGCGATAAATTCTACTGAACTCGGTAGCCTTTACTCCAGAGTAGCTGTGGCTGCTGCGATCCAAGCTGCTAAATTCCCCCAGCGCGCGTCTCGGTCCGTTTTTTCCAGACTTTAGGGCAAATCCGAAAGCGTGGCCTTCAACTCCCGACATGCATCGCTACGGCATGCCAGCCGACGGAGCTCCGTCGGGATAGGCATCCCGTGCAGAGGGGGCCGGCTGGAGGAGGAGGAGGCGCCTCGCCAATGAGGCCGCTGCTCCGCCTCTTACCTCGGCTAGCATATCGTCACCCGCCAGCCGCACCGACCTCAGCCGCCTCCGCTTGCCGTTGGGTTCTCCGAGGAAGACGGGCTCGGGCGCTCCCGGCTCGCTCCCCCTCTCCCTAGCTTGGGTAAGAGCCGGATCGGGGCTGAGCGCCGCTGGAAGCGCCCAGCCGGGGGTGACGAGCGGGGAGAGAGAGAGGAGCGCGGGGGTTTAGCGTTGCTGTGATTACTTTCGCGGGCAGTGGCAGTCCTGCGCGTGTTTATTCCCAGTAGTAAGTCCTCCTGTGTTTAGCGGCACGGCTTCGTCCCCGAGTGAGCAGGTTTAGGGTTGGATCCAGTGGGGAGGAACTGGGTATCTCCCCCCCCCCCCCCCCCAGCTGGGAAAGAGACCCAGGCAACTACCGGGAGGGGAAGGGAAGATGCCTCCCCCACCCTCTTGTCTTTGCTGGAAGAGACCCGAGGGCCTTTTAGCTCAAGATTCCCTTGTCGGAGGTGTCTTGATGCCTTCGCGGCCAGGGATTGTGGTCTATGCGGTCGCTGAGGTGAAAAACAGAAAGGAAGTTTAGGATACCTTGGCCCGGTCACACGGCAAAATTAACGCGGGAGAGGCGGATTATCCGGGCGCGATCACACCTCAACATCTGGGAAGTGGAGCGCACCCGTGGCTTACTGGCAACAATGCGCCTTAAACTAGTATCTCCAAGGTACTAGTAAACGTTTGCCAGGGGCTGCCTCCAGACGCCCGTGGTGTGATCGCGCCAGCACATGGCATTCTCCTCCGGTCCCTCGTTTACCCGCCAGCACTGAGGGAAGGACCCGTGGTGTTCTGCGTCTGATCGCGTAATCGCGGATCAAACTGCGCAGGGGGGGCAATTAGCCACGCCTCCCCCCGCAATATTTGGCCCGTGTGACCGGGGCCATCAACGGTATATGGAGATGTGGGATGGAAAAATGCCTAAGGGCTGTTGCAGTCAATTCTAGAATTTATGCCGGTGTTGCCAGTGTGGTGTAGTGGTGTGAGTCTGGGTTCAGGAGGACACAGGTTCGGATGACTGCTCTGCCTCAGGAGCTTTCTGGATTACCTTGGGGGCAGTCATTTGCTCTTAGCCTAACCTACCTCACAGGGTCGTTGTGAGGATAACATAGAGAAGAGGACAATGGGTCCCCATGGGGGGGGCAGGAGAAATTCTGGATTTAAATGACGTAAGTAAGTTGATGATGAGATAAATCTTTTAGCCTCTAGGGGACTTCTGCTGCTGCGGACAGATTTGGCTGGTTTTAATATGCTTGGTTTTGTTTTAGTTTTGTAGCTGCCGCCAGCGGGTATGGAGAGGCAGCGTACAAACTTTCTGAATAAATGCCTTGGAAGCTTCCTTGGGAGCTGTAGGCCGTGGTCACTTTCACCTAATTTATTTTACAGGATTGTTGCAAAGATGGAGGAGGTGAGGAGGAGGATGTAAGCTGCTTTGGACTTGGACAATAGGTGGGGTGGAAATATCTAAGCATGCCCCAGAGTCTATATCCCAAAGCATGGAGTGGTTCCTAGGGCAGTGGTGGTGTTCTTTGCAAATGGGTGTATACTATGGGGGTGGGGAGGGGAGGGCAGTGATAACAGCGGATTACACATATCTTTTCAAAAAAAAATTTTGCTGTCAAGTCACAGCTGAGTGATGGCGACCCCGTAGGGTTTTCATGACAAGAGCCTTGAAGAGGTTGCTTGCCATTGCCTGCCTCTGGGTCATAACCCTGGAATTCCTTGGATGTCTCCCATCCAAATACTAGCCAGGGGTGACCCTGCTTAGCTTCCGAGACCCAAGCAGATCTGGCTAGCCCAGGCTATCCAAGTTAGGGCTTTTCAAAACTTCCGTGATGTTATATCAGATGTCTGACATATGATTAAAAGCATTTGGCACTCAGGAAAGTTTGGCTATGGCTGCATTCTTGATCAGAGGAGTAGTTGGGGGGGTGGAATTATGGAAGTAGTTCTTTCTGTACCTTGTCTTTCTTTACTAAATGAAGACATCACTTGTGAAAAGTTTACTGCTTTCCCCAGGCGTGGGCACCTAGGAGCACACTTGCACATTTTACAGTGCTGCCCTGAGCACAGTTACATCTTTTTAGAGGACTTAGCAGGGTGTAACTGTGTTTAGGATGGCTCTGTGTTGACATTTATGAGTTTTATAACATTGGCTAGCTCACTGAGAAGGATGGGCAGTACTGGATTGTACTGGCATTACTGCAAGGGCTCTTGTTCACATCAGCTGACATAATGAGGTCTAGCTGGCTTGGCCATTGCAATGAGGTCTAGCTGGCTTGGCCATTGCACTGCATTGAGTGTTTTATCCCAAAATGTGCTCTCAAACGCCTCTGTTGGCATATTGACATCCTGCATCTGTGTTCTGTGGCTGATATTCAGGGGTTTGTTTGTTGGCAAGACAGTGTGGGAGGTGTTCTCTAAAGCCAGAACAATTGAGGAATCACAGCTTTTAGATACACGTACTGCAAGCTTTCACTTTAAAAATCAGGAGAGCTGTTTCAGCTATTCATGTTCCGCTGCTAGAAAGCGCATGGCTGTCCACCCCACTTAGCTGATGGGAAGCAACACAGGGTACGTAATCTGTACTGCTTTACATGTGGTGTCCTTTGGGAGAAGATCTGTGACTTCTTCCCCCAGGGGTTTTTAGATTCTAGGCTGGGTTCCAGCAATGCCCAACTGTGAGCATAGAAAGCTGCTACTGAGCAAGTTACTGAGTACTTCAGCAAAGCTAGTGGAGGTGATGGTATTCCAGCTGGGCTATTCAAAGTCTTAAAAGATGATTCTGTTAAAGTGCTGCACTCAATTTGCCAGCAAATTTGGAAAACGCAACAGTGGCCACAGGATTGGAAAAGGTCAGTATACATTCCAATCCCAAAGAAGGGCAATGCCAAGGAATGTTCAAATTACTGCACAATTGCACTCATATCACACGCTAGCAAGGTCATGCTCAAGATGCTACAAGCTAGGCTTCAACAGTACGTGGATAGAGAACTGCCAGAAGTACAAGCTGGGTTTCGAAGAGGTAGAGGAACTAGGGATCAAATTGCCAACATTCACTGGATTATGGAGAAAGCAAGAGAGTACCAGAAAAACATCTACTTCTGCTTCATTGACTATGCTAAAGCCTTTGACTGTGTGGATCACAACAAACTATGGCAGGTCCTTAAGGAGATGGGAGTACCAGACCACCTCACATGTCTCTTGAGAAACCTGTATAAGGGTCAAGAAGCAACAGTTAGAACCGGATATGGAACAACTGATCCCAGATCACCGCAGACTGTGACAGCAGCCATGAAATTAAAAGACGCCTACTCCTTGGGAGGAAAGCGATGGCGAACCTAAACAGCATGATAAAAAGAAGAGACATTACCCTGCCAACAAAAGTCCGCATGGTCAAAGCAATGGTATTCCCAGTAGTCATGTATGGCTGCGAGAGTTGGACTATAAGGAAGGCCGAGCGCCAAAGAATAGATTCTTTTGAACTATGGTGCTGGAGAAGACTCTTGAGAGTCCCTTGGACTGCAAGAAGATCAAATCAGTCAATCCTAAAAGAAATCAACCCTGACTGTTCCCTGGAAGGCCAGATAATGAAACTGAAGCTCAAATACTTTGGCCACCAAATGAGAAGGGAGCACTCACTGGAGAAGACCCTGATGCTGGGAAAGATTGAAGGTCAAAGAAGACGGGGACGGCAAAGGATGAGATGGTTAGACAGTGTCATCGATGCAATGAACATGAAATTGAGCCAGCTTCAGAGGACGGCGGAAAACAGGAGGGCCTGGCGGGATCTTGTCCATGGGGTCGTGAAGAGTCTGACTCGACTGTGCGACTGAACAACAACAACTGAGCAAGTTGTGGAACGATGCATGAGTACATACCTGTCTCTTAAGATGCATGGACGGATTACATGGGAAAGATGTGTAAGTCTCTTTTTTCCCCTCTTCAGAAAGTGCATGACCTCGAGAGAACAAACCTACACGTTATTGATAGATGCATAGGTTTTCTTTCCTGTTATATTTGGGAACATCTTATGACAACCTGGGAAATGACCTATGATTGGGAAGATCGCAAAAAGACCCGAACCCGTGCACCTTCTTATGGAGGGAGACGATGGTAGCTGACTCTGCTGGAGCAGCTGAGGCTGTGTATGTCCACTGAAACTGAGAGTAGGTTTAAGGATGGACCAAACTGCATAACTACTTCCTTTGTGCACAAATGACTTTGTGCAGTTTCTTCCCAGAAATGCTGTTGTTGCTACCTCAGATAGTCAGAGAGAGATCTGTTTTTAATCATTATGTCTGATCTTCTCTTTAACACTGTAAATCACGGCAAAATAGAACCCTTTGCTCTCAGAGGCAGGATGTTTCGTTGTTGTTAGAGAGAGCTCTTGCCAGTTTCTGAGGACCTGCTGCTAGAGATGGCTATCACCACCTTAGCCTGGGTGTTTCCCCACGGCCTATGGGGCCTAGGTAGGTTGGGGTTGATTCAGTGAGGTAATCTCTAGGTTTGTTTTACCACAGCTTGAAAGTAGGACAGGAAGCAGTATGTGGCTTAAAATGTTTTTCTTGTACTCTTACTAGTAGAAGAAGAAGAAGAAGAAGAGATTGGATTTATACCCCGCCCTTCACTTGGAGTCTCAGAGCGGCTTACAAACTCCTCTCCCTTCCCCTCCCCACAGCAGACACCCTGTGAGGTGGGTGGGGCTGAGAGAACTCTGACACAAACTGCTCTTTTTCAAGGACAGCTGTGCCAGAGCTTGTGACTGACCCAAGGTCACATCAGCAGGTGCAAGTGGAGGAGTGGGGAATCAAACCTGGGTCTCCCAGATTAGAGTCCGCACACTTAACCACTACACCAAACTGGCTCTCTAAAAAGCCTTTTTTTCATTCCCTGGCCAAACCAATCACATTGTACGTTCCTTAGTTTCCCCCGCTTAAAGCTGTTTGTGCCGGCTATGTGTTTGCTCTTGGTCAGCTGCTCAGATCAGCTATGATAGCTGAATGGAACTTCCATGTTCATAAGAACATAAGAGACGCCAATGTTGGATCAGGCCAGAGGCCCATCCAGTCCAACACTCTGTATCACACAGTG